CAAGAGATTACACCACCACTCCACATGGACTGCTCAAGATTTCATTCTAAACAAAACCTTCAGCATAAAAATAAAAATTTTGACGAAAAGCCATATACTACAATTATGAAACAAATATACAATTTAAATTACTTCAATCAATTCTTCTACATAAATATTAATCCTTTAGAAAATATAAAGAATATGAAAAAAACTCATACCATCAGGATTGGATTTCGGATACATGCGTCGGGGCACAAATCCTAGATGGATTCCACTTTTGTCGACCCTTCACCGGCGGGTTTGAACTCCTTTGCGACATCGGCTAGTTTCAGCTCCTTGGAGTGCCCACCGGTAGCAGTGGCGGAGTATGATTTTTTTTTTGTGTCCCCAGGCGTCTTTTTGCTTCTTGGATGGCCCACCCGTGTCAGTCGTGCTTTTTCGTGGGAACAATCTCTATGCCTCGTTTGAGCCGGTTCATTGATTTTGAACCCATTTTTTATGAATTCAAGCTCCGATGACCAGCCAAATAGCAGATCCCACCAGCCGTTCGATTGTGTACGCCATCAGAGGACTCTTATGAACGCGAGGGCCGCCAGAGAGGCAGAGGAGATAATCGGGCAACCTAATCCACCTGACATAAATTTGGAACATTAACGTCTACCCATTAATCCAAAATACGAAATCAAGTTAAAGAAAAGGGGAAAATGCTGGTTGAAGTACCCATTCAAGGCGGAGATGTTGGGTTCAATGTTGGAGTACTGCCGCGGGATCCACCAGGCAGGAACCAGTCTACCTACAATTTTATTAAATTGCACAAATAATACAGTTAAGATTAAAAAAAAAAGATATTCAGACTTAAAAAATAAAACTCAGGGATCTTTTATCATTGTGCATAAAGAACAAAGTTTACACCAAATGAAGCACCTAGAACAACATCCAGAAGTTTGTTTAACTCTTTCCTTCCAAGAAACTCCTGAAGCTTGGCCTAAAAATGAAACTCTTGGCTGGAGTCGAATCATGAATCCTATAAATTTGTGACTTGAAGAGTGACTAAAATGTTACTTCTTAAGAAACTTAAGCCACACCAAAAAGTTTTAAATGTGATGCACCTATTAATGGTGGAAGTCAGAGTTAACAACATCGAAATTAGGAACTTGAGTAACGCTTCCTAGTCCAATCAACTCCACTGCATATACTTAATCCAGAATGCTTGAGAAGTTCTTTCAAAAGAACAAGGGCCTTGCCCCAAAGATCTTCAAAATCTAATCAGTAGTTGTGCTTCTACAGAGGAAAAAATGGTCCCAAAGAGGTAAGAACTCAAGAAATTATATACCCAAATGGCCAGATGCATATGCGCCAAAAGAACATATTTCAGAAATCATAAGGAACAAAAAAAAAAAAAAAAAAAAAA